TTAGGGTTTACGGTCGCAAGCGTCGGGTCTAGTGCTTTGTAATTCCTAATCAATAGAAATCTCAACCGGCTTTGAGCCGGCCAACCCCTGTTATACCCGAAACCGACACACACTGTAAGAGCCTTACGGCCCTAAAACAACCCCAAAACCCCAAACCTCAAGCCCTGAAACCCTCACCAGACTGGTGGCGAAGGCCCGGTTCCGGTACGTCCGGGAACTCAGAACATGAATCGAACCTGGGCTTCGAAGAAACTTGGCTTAGGGGTTTAGGGCTTTAAGGTTTTAGGATATTTTGAGGTTTAGGGGGTTTAGGGTTTTGAGGTGTTTTTTGAGGTTTAGGTGTTTAGGGGTTTAGGGTTTTAGGGTTTTGGGGTGTTTGGGTTTCTGGGCTTTTCTTGAGGTTTAGGGGTTTAGGGTTGTTTTGGGTTTAGGGGTTTAGGGTTTTTGGGTGGTAAGGGTTTTGGGGGTTAGTGCTTTTGGGTGGTAAGGGTTTTGGGGTTTAGGGCTTTTTGGGTTTAGGGCTTTAGGTTTTTTTTGGGTTGAGGGCTTCAGGATTTTAGGGTTTAGGGCTTTAGGGCTTGAGGGCTTTAGGGTTGAGGGTTTAGGGGTTTGCTTTTTTAGGGAAGTGTCATAAGAGGTGCCGAACCTTACATGGATCATGTTTACAAAGGAGTCGATTCAGCGATTCTCAAACCTTTCGGTTTGAGTAGTTTCGGCGTCTTTATGGGCTTGATGACCCTAAACCCTAAACCCTAAACCCTAAACCCTAAACCCTAAACCCTAAACCCTAGGTTGCGGCCCGCTTTGCGAGTTTCGGGCATAGTTCTAGGTTTGGGGCTTTGGCGTCGAGGGCTTCGGCGATACTCGTCGGCTTTGGCTTTGGAAGGCGGGAGGCGTGGGTTTAGGGTTTAGGGTTCAGGGTTCAGGGTTTAGGGTTTAGGGTTTAGGGTTTAGGGTTTAGGGTTTAGGGTTCAGGGTTTAGGGCTTGCGGCTCAATCTCCAGGGTTTCCGTGGGGAACCTATCGGCCGGCGAGAAAAAGAGAGTTGGATCATGCAAGCCGTCGGGCACAAGCAGCACCCATAAGTGCCCAAAACCCTAAAGCCTAAAGCCTAAAGCCATAGCAACCCTGAGAAGTCGGAGTCACCCCATAAACTGTGAACTGGAACCCTTCAAAAAAGCCTACGCCCCGCTATCCTGCAGCCCTAAAACTTCGGGTTTAAGGTTTAAGGGTTCAGGTTTAGGGTCTAGAGTTTAGGGTTCCACGGACCCTAAAGCTGTTCCAGCTTCTTTGAGTTTACTGCAGGACCTTCACATGCAGTGTTCAGGCGCAGGCTGGGGCATAGGAACAGGGTGTGCGGCATTTTTAGGATTTAGGGTTTAGGGGTTCAGGGTTTAGGCAGAGCACTGGACCCTAAGCCCAAACCACTAAAACCTGGAATCTGAAGTGGGAAAGTCTCCCGCGTCCCATTCTCAGGGCTTATAGGCGCTGGGCGACTAAATATAGGAGTTTCCGAAAATTAGGGGTACCTTGTTTTGGGGTCCTTATAATAAGCGCCCACTATTTAGGGTACTATATTAGGGTCCCCTATCTTTGGAAACCCCCATATAGAGGCTGCGGGA